ACACCAACATCACTGCCATTGCCAGGCACTCCACCATTTTCGTCATCAGCTCCTGACCCCACCCTTGTACCCATTCCTACTTTTTCAACAGCGCAAATGTCACCAAGGGACACAACAACAGTGCAGAGTCCTACAAGTGCATTYGASGATGTGCAGGTTGAAGATGATAAGGGGCAAGGTGAAAGGGAGGTGAATACTCCTACTCAAGAAAGTAGCGACAGTGGGGAGATGCMGTCWCCWGTGTCCAGCAAGAAAGAACCATTACCAGTTACTAATATGSCCTTGTCACCATCACTTGAAGGTGATCATAATCATTATCATAATGATGATGATAATGACTTTATTAATCATTAAAAATAGATACTAATTATCAATAGTTGATAATGATAACAAAGCATAAAGTGGACCACAAGGTACTATGAGATACTTGAAATGGAAATAATGGAAAGTTATAAAGCTTAGGAGAATAACCTCCTTCAAATCTAAGCAAAATTATATAACTTTCCATGATTTCATGTTGAAAAGAAGTATATAACCATCATCACAGAGATTTTGACATCCATCTCATGGAGTTTTCTCTACCTTATGTACCAGTAGCTGCTTGATGTAAAAGTGCAAACAGTTCATTGTTTTTTTTTCACACAACATTTGTTCATTTTTCTTTTTATTAATTTCTCTACCTTTACTAATCAAAAGAGATAAATCCTTAAAGGGACATGGTCCAGCATCTCTTTCAAGCTTTTAAATATAACTGCATYTTAATATAAGCAAAACTTACTCTTTGTTATCCCTTTATACTATAAGATCTGACCTTTAAACTGATTGATGGAAACGGAAATTGCGAATGGATATTTGATAGTCACCTCATTTTTCTATATCTGAAAAATCTAAAACACGACCACATTGAATGCTGGTGGACCATGTCCCTTCAACCACTTGATAACATCCATGAAAGTAGGGAATAACTTTATACTGTGGATAACTTTATCCACCCTTTATACAAACAATCCCAGGCATGCATTTCCCACTGCAACATCCTTGTTGACAATCTTTTGTCTCTTCAGATGAYAGARMTCCTGTCCTGCAGGAYGAAGACTTAGATAACACTTGGATGACAGCAACTGCTGAAAATACTCCAGCACAATTAACAAGACTTAGAAAGATGCAATCAGAAGCTGCGTAAGTCAGGGGAATAGAGTAAATCTTTCTTTGACCTCATTAATTTTRAATTATTGTATTGGATGCAACAAATGTGCCTGGATTATGACTATTCGTAGCACATATTTTAGCATACAGTTGGATTTCCTGTAAGTGGACACACTTAGGAAACAGAAAAAAATGTCTGTTGCTAGAGCATCTTGCATATGAAAAAGTGTGAAGGCACTCTATCTTATTTGTGCTAATTTTCACAGGCACTTAATTTCATGAAATACAGCAGTACACTTTCACAATATTATGGGCTCACAAATCCTTTTTTTTAACTGTGTTAGCCTCAAAACCATGTAATATATATTCTTTTATTAAGTTTGTGCAAATGCAAGAGATCTGTGAGTATAGAAGACATTGGCAATATTTTGAAATGTCAAGAGTTTTATGCAAATATCTGGGTATTTTACACAMAATTGAAGCTAACACAGTATAAAAGAGATYGCRAAACTCAAYTATTTAAAAAGAAAATGTTGTGTGGCACTCTTTGCATCATTAGTAGAGTGGACTATTTAGTCTTCCTTCTATGCTCTATGCATTACAGTATTACAAAACATAATATTACATATCTTGCAGACTGACATCATCACCCATATCAAGAGTTGATATCCCTCCAACAGAAAACAACTCTCAGCCAGAAACACAGGTTTGTATCTAGATCATTCAACCTTAGTCAGATGTTTCAAAATGCTACATAAATGACATCAAAAGAACAGTTTTGTAAGAGTATTTCAAATGAGTAATGCTTAAAGTCTGAACTGTTGTCAAAAAAAAGTCAAAAAATCTAACCGTTGGTGCAGTGTGTGAGGGTTTGTTTTGGGTTAACTTAAGCAGTTAAGAATTCAGTTCTCTGTATTCTTGGGACCGTTTCGTTTCAAAATCAAAACCCATATGGCTTCATAGATAGACTTAAAAATTTTGTGTCTGTTAAGTATCTGTAAAATATAGTTGTTAAATGTTAGTTGTTAAATGTTGTTATATCAGTTCCGTTCATCCTGTAATTCAGTGTTTTTCTCTTGTATTGCACTGCRATAGGATTGTAATTAAACATATTATTATAGTGACAATTTGGTATATAAGGACCTCCCTATGAAAATCCTGGATGCGACCCTGAATTGTTGTGTTGTACTTTTAGGGTGTCCAGGATTTATCGTCATCAATTGGTGAGCTCTTGCAGCTGATGAAATCCCAACAACAACAGATAACTACTCTAAGACAAGAACTAAGATCCTATCAATCCACCCAGAATACTACACAGTTGYTGAGAGAAGAGATGGGACAACTTGAAGACAGGATAAACAACGCTCTCGCTCAACATAGTACCAGTGAAAGTATCCTTGATGTAATGGTTATTAGAGATAATCTTAAACTTCATCTCTTTGACAAAATGTTTTAAAGTTCAAAAAGTTCAAATGGGAGTTATTTTAGGTTTTTCAATGACATACACCAAGTTAGTGAAAAATGTTGAGGGGARCTGAACATTTGAACTTTAGTAAAAATGAATTATTAAAAAGACAAAAGAAGATGACTTTGGACAAATGTTTTCTTTTGCCTTTGGTCTACAAAATGCACTATTTGTCTATGATAAAATTTCTTTTAATGTGCACTTAATAGGCRATGTKCAGCAACGCCATTTTGTACWAGAGAACTATGTCTATATTTGCACATAAAAAGCAAAAACGGCAAACACAACAGACATGAGACCGTGAGGACTACAATTATATGCTTTCTTGAACAATATGGCATCACTGTACGTAGTGTTTGTATATGAATGTGCTGCGAATATGAATGTGAAATGTTTCTCATTTGCAACCTTCCTTCATTGATTTGATTTGATGAATTTGTCTATGACCACCTTGTTAAACTTGCAAGCAATTCAGTAGAATAATCCTGGAATCTTGATTACAAGAAGACTACTCGATCCCAGTAATTTGTTTGCTTTCATTGAAAGTTTTTCACCTAACAGTACAAGTTTACCTTAATTCACACAATCAGCACAGCGTCTTGACAAAGCCTTGAAGGAAAGGCAAGTCACAGACAAGAAGAAACAAGAACATCTCACAAGTACTTTATCACAAGCAGTCACCAATTCAGTCACTGGAAAACTGGAAAAGACACTAAAACATGAGATGAAAAACAATGTTTTACCTGCTGTACAGAAACTCCTGACACCTTTACAGGAACAGCTGAATACAACAATGGCTCAGGTTGGGGAAGTTGTTGTTTGTACTGTTTTTGTTGTTTGTATTGATTTTCATTGTTGTTGTTTGTGTCATATTGAACTTGCTTGAAAGCTATTTTTGAAAAAAACAGTACTTGAAAAACGTCTTTTTATGCTGAAAAAGTACTTGAAAAGTACTGGGATTTTGTAGTGAAATTRTAGCACGAACACTGTATTTTTTAGAAAAGAAGGGACCACGAGTACACAAATTTCTGGACATCTCTTTTTCTATTTTCTTTCCTGTTTTTATAATGATAATTGTTAATAGACCATTGTTCTTATGATATTGATTTTGCTTCTAGAAACTAACTGCTGCAGATGCAGTACTAAAAGATAGTGTAAACAAGATGCTTAAAAATAAGGTAAGACCTTTTAACATCAATGTTACTTTTTTATTTGAAGTCTGAATTAGACGGCACAACTTTTTCCTGCTTTTTCGCATGCATAAGTCATCCTTACAACTTGGCTACAATTGTCGTAGGGATTTAAAACAATTGCTAATAGCTCCACGACAGTTGTAGCCATGTTCTAAGGATGACTTTCGCAGTTTGAATACGATGATTGCAGGCAAAAGTTGGAGTGGATAGYTTTATTCACCATTCGTAGAACCAGCCTGAGAAATATTAAACAGCCACAGGTGCTATGACCTGTGATATAAAAWGGAGAGAACTTGAGAAGCAAGAGAGACAATAGCTGCACTGGCGATCCAGGACTTGCTTTCTTTTATAAACACTTTTTTTTAACGAGCGCACGAGCAGCGTATATGAACATCCACATATGGAATATATGATATATGGTTATCAGCCAAATGAATGTACAAGTTTTATCTTGAAAATTTGATAAAAGGGTGTGAACAAAACCGAGATAAAAGAAAGATAGAGAGGCAGATACATAGAGAGAAATGGAGTGATCTTATTTTGATGATTTTRACAATGCCTCTTTTKCTGTTATTCCMCAGAGTATYATTGAATCTATTGGTACYTCGGCTGCTGTAGCTCTTCAGGGACCAATTCTAACATCGTACCGTGAAGCTTTTCAAAACACCATTGTACCCGCCTTTGAGAGGGCCTGTCAAGCAATGTTCCATCAGATAAATGAAAATTTTCAGAGAGGCACACAACAATGTAAGCAAATGAAAAAGAAGGGTAGTGAAAGGGAAG